ACTTGCAATCCTCCTGCCTCAGCCTCCTAAACCACTGGGATACAGGTATGCATCTCCACACCTGGCCTTGAAATTTCTTTATAGTAATATAGTTTGAGTTCACTCAAGAACAGATCTTGAAGCTGGGTACAGTGACACAACTCCTGTAATCCCAGCTTCTTAGGAGGCTGAAGCAGGAGGATAGCAAACTCAAGGGCAACTTAACAAGACCTTGTCTCAAAATAAAGAGTAAAAAAAGCTGGGGGGTGGAACTCAGTGGTAGAGGGCCCCTGGGTTCAATTCCCCAGTATGGGGTGGTGGTGAAGGGAGCAGATCTTGAGGCAGAGATTTGGAGATTGAGTAGTCTCTTTGGGAAAAGACCAAGGAAGGCTGAAAACCAATAATGTGCTAGTTGGTGGGGCACACAGTACCAGGCCTCAGGCAGTGACAGGTGTCCAGAGGGTAACCTCCCCACACAAGGCAAGTCTCTGGAAGCCATTTCCTTTTGACCCCTCTGTACACTGGAACAGTACTATGAACACTCAGTGGAGACTCAGTAAAAATACCAGCCAATATGGTGTGGAAAGTGCCATACTAAGAGCTTTATGGTAAACTTACTTATCCTACTAACCCTGAAAGGTAGAAACTCTTGTCACTCTTAATTTACAAGTTAAAAGGGAGGCAGGATTTGGGGCAGAGAGGTTGCCTCAGAGAACATTTAATGCAGTTCCCTCTCAAAGGTGTAGGACCCAAGACTCAGGAAGGTAAGTACTATGTACAAGAGCACTCCATGGCTTGCTATGTGATGCACAGGGAGCTACTAGTCCAATGCCGGATGAGGTCAGTCCTCTGTGGGGGATCAATCAACTATGGATGTTTTTGACAGGGATCACAATCAACAGAGGCAGAGACAGGAAGACCCAGAGGCTGAAGATGGAATCATGGAAACTGCTGTGTAAGTGAAGGATAAGTAAGTGACAGAAGATAAAACAGCAATCAGAACTATCTAGGTTAGTGGACAGTGCACTGAGATTTCTACAACAACCAAAACTCAATCTCTAGCAAATACAGGCTCTGTGTTTCAGCTGTGCAGAGCAGCCCAGTACTCAAATTTTGTGATCTGGAAGCAAATATTTCTAAACTCGAACACAGAACTATGAGACTGTTTTCCCACTTGGAGGAGAAAGAATGTTAATCAAGGATAATTCTAGCTGGGCACAATGGCACATGCCTGTAATCCCAGCGGCTCAGGAGGCTGGGGCAGGAGGATCACAAGTTTGAAGCCAGCCTCAGCAACTTAGCAAGACCCTGTCTCAAAATTGTAAAAGAATTTAAAAAGGGCTAGGGATGTGGATCAGTGATTAAGTGCCCCTGGGTTCAATCCCTGGTACCAAAAAGGAAAAAAAAAAAATCTAATTCTAGGGGGAAAAAATCTACCTAGAAATTAACTGTTAATGTCAATCAGGACAGAACTTGCTCTCCCTCATCACATTCATTTCAAAAACTCTAACCAAATATTTCTATCACCTACAGAGCCTCACCCACTCGAAAAGAAACTTCTGACCCTGAGTCACAGCAATGAGCAAAGGCCAGAGAGCAAAGGACCTAGGCCAGTAGTTTAACTCTGAATATAAGCCCAACTCTTGGGTTGCACTGTGAGCGCAAGAATCCTAGTCTGGGGAGACCTCTATAAATATTAAAGTTACTAATTACTGATAATTTGCAAAAAAAAAAAAAAAAAAAAGCAAAGAAAATGGGAAAATGAATGTGACTTGGATTGAGATGGCCTTTGATCACTATTGTTTTTTCCATTGTACAAAGCTAGAAAGTCAACTTCTACACTTGAAGCGTTAAGACTTCAAATACAAAACCTCTTTTGGAAGAAAGAGCTAAGCATTAAATTATGTGTAAAGATTCAAAATCAATTGTTCATTTTAGGGCTACCCAGTCAATAATAACATACTTCAGAGTTCACTAGGGATATCTCAACTATGTAATTAAAAAATGCCATAAAGCAGCTGGAAGGAAATATGCCCAAATGTTAATTTT